AAAGGGAACTAGGGTGCCCCTTCCAACTTCTTTTACAAGACCACTAATTCATTCATGAGGGTGCAGCCCTCATGACTTAATCAGTCTCAAAAGGCCCTTCCTCTTAACACATCACCTTGGGCTTTTAATTTCAACATATGAGGCAGGGCGCGGTGGCTCACACCTGTAATCCCAGCACTTTGGGAGGTTGAGGCGGGGAGATCACCTGAGGTCAGGAGTTCGGGACCAGCCTGACCAACATGGAGAAACCCCATCTCTACTAAAAATACAAAAAATTAGCTGGGTGTGGTTGCACAAGCTTGTAATCCCAGCTACTCGGGAGGCTGAGGCAGGAGAATCGCTTGAACCTGGGAGGCAGAGGTTATGGTGAGCCAAGATCATGCCCTTGCACTCTAGCCTGGGCAACAAGAGTGAAACTGTCTCAAAAAAAAATTTTTTTTTTCAACATATGAATTTTGGAGGGACACATACAAGATTAGGTACCATTATTATCCTAATTTAACAGAGGAAAAAACTGAGCCTCCGAGAAGCTAAATAATTTGCCCAAGGTCACACAGCTAACAAATGGGATTGAGGGACAGGATTTGAATTCAGTTATGTGAAACTCCAAAAGTTGAGTTCTTTTTAATGCCTCACACTGTTTAACCCACAAGAGAGGTGGGTGAGTCAACTGAACAGCAGTGGCTGGTGGTGGCATAGGACAATAAGCAGAACTGAATAGCGTGTGCATAGCTCTGATGAGGGGGGCAAGTCACACTTTGAACTCACGTAAGTCAGTTATCTCATTTCTGTCCCCAACAATGCACTGAGTCCTGCTCTTGCCTCCAGGATTGTCCCTCACCTTGACTGGAAACAGTCTTGCTGCTGACCACAGGTCCCGTGCCCCAAATGCAGCAAGGCTTCCAGCAACTTCACAGCTACTTGCTGCCTCAGGGCAGGAGAGTGTGGACAGTTTCATGTACCTCCTTCCCATCTCCAGAGAAATACCTTGAAACAGTGGTCCCAACATTTTTGGCATCGGGGGCTGTTTTCATGGAAGACAACTTTTCCATGAACTAGGGTTAGGAGGGATGGTTTCAGGATGACTCAAGCGCATTGTAGTTACTGTGCACTTTATTTCTATTATTATTTTGTTGTAATATATAATGAAATAATGCTACAACATGCCATAATGTAGAATCAGTGCGAGCCCTGAGTTTGTTTTCCTGCAACTTGATGGTCCCATCTGGGGGTGATGAGAGACAGTGACAGATCACGAGGCATTAGATTCTCATGAAGAACATGCAACCTAGATCCCTCACATGTGCAGTTTACAGTACGGTTCATGCTCCTATGACAATGTAATGCCACCGCTGATCTGACAGAAGGTGGAGCTCAGGTGGTAATGGGAGCAATGTAGAGCGGCTGTAAATACAGATGACGCTTCACTGGCCCATCTGCTGCTCACCTCCTGCTGTGAGACCTGGTTCCTAATAGGCCAGGGAGCCATAATGGTCCATGGCCCAGGGATTGGAGACTTATGCCTTAAAACATTTATTCTGCTGATATTCATTCAATAGTATCATCCTGAACAAAAGACAGCACAGAGTTGGGCCAACAGTTAGTTACTTACCTGACAGGCAGTTGTGAAGTATCAATTATGTGCCAGGCATTGTGCTAGGTGCTATCACAGCAGTGACCTTAAAGTCTGGCAAATAGATACAGATATTCAAAAACTGGTCATTTCAATCTGATATTAAGATATCTGGGAGCCTACAAGGGGTTGAGAGTGGGCAATCAGAGCTGTGTTCCTTGCCTCTTAAGCCTTGACCCCTGAATGGATATGGTGGTGATGGGTCCTCTCTGCAGAATTACAGCAGGCCCATAGAGCACAGTGTGCAGATGCAAAAGCGCTCCCAATGCACCGTGAGAGCATCTACCAATGAAAGGTACAGCCACAGCTGTTATGGAGAGGGCAAAGTCGCCATGGGCAAGAGTGTCCTGAGAAAAAAAGATGAAATCTTGGATCTGGGACTACAAAAACAGATGTGGCCAGGCATGGTGACTCACTTGCAATCCCAGCACTTTGGGAGGCCGAGATGGGAGGACTGCTTGAGACCAGGAGTTTAAGACCAGCCTGAGAAACACAGTGAGACTCAGTCTCTACAAAAAACAAAAATAAATTTAAAAATTAGCCTGGTATGGTAGTGCATGTCTGCAGTCCCAGCTACTTGGGAAGCTGAGGTGGGAGGATCACTTGAGCCTAGAAGTTTGAGCCTGCTTTGAGCTGTGATCGCACTACTGCACTTCAGCCTAGGGTAACAGAGCAAGACCCTGCCTCTAAAAAAAAAGGATATAATTTGGTTAAATGAAGGAAGGAGTCAATTAAGAAAATGATTATTCCAGGTGTCAGATATTTAAATCTTACTGTAAACGCATGCCTTCAGCTTGGCTTGAATTTCTATTGGTTTGCTTTTATGTTTTTTTCCCTCACCTTGTACATTTTGAAGGCTAGGTAGGGTGGGAATATGGACTATAGAAAAAAGAAGAATGAATGAGTGCTCTATCCAATAGAACTTTCTTCAATGACTGAAGATTCTATTCTGTGCTGTCCAATACAGTAGCCACTAGCCACATATGGGCAATTGAAGCGTGGTCAGTGGAACTGAGGAACTGAATTTTAAACTTCATTGGAAATGTGGTTAGTAGCTATTGTATTGGAAAGCGCTATGTGTTCCAACCACTTAGCAATATGCCATACACACCCTAGTAAATGTGCAATTAAATATGAATGCTTCTTTTACCCTAGTTATGGGGGACACTTATTTGGGTGTGCATGGGCTTGTCCAATCAAGGATTGGAGCACCAAGGTTCCTAAAAACAACTCTGCAAGGGCTTATTCTTAATTTGCACAGTACCTTCAGGCACATTATCTCGCTTAGTCCCATAACAACTTTGAAGTGGGTAGAGCAGAGATTATCACCTCCATGAACCCCAGTGAGTTGAGGTGATGATGGCAAGGCCTTATAGCAAATGAGGGTGGAGACTAGAAGCCAGATGTTCTCCTCCTGGTTAGAAAATGCTTTCCAGCCAGGCTTGGTGGCTAACGCCTGTAATCCCAACACTTTGGGAGGCGGAGGCGGGTGGATCATCTGAGGTCAGGAGTTCGAGACCAGCCTGACCAACATGGTGAAACCCCGTCTCTACTAAAAATTTATACAAAATTAGTTGGGCGTAGTGGCGCATGCCTGTAATCCCAGCTACTCAGGCTAAGGCAGAAGAATTGCTTGAACCCAGGAGGCAGAGGTTGCAGTGAGCCGAGATAGCACCATCGCACTCCAGCCTGAGCAACAGAGCAAAACTCCGTCTTAAAAAAGAAAAAAAAAAAAAAAAGAGAGAGAGACAGAGAGCGAGAAAAAGAAAAGAAAAGAAAAAGAAAGAAAACTCTTTCCAGGGGAACAGTGAAGGGAGAATGGTCTCCTGCTACCCATGCCTGCTACTCATATCCTGGGTCTCAAGGATGAAGAGGGGTACCATGCTTCACATGCTTTTTTTTTACTTGAGTGTGGTTAATGGGCCATAGGCTATTAATGGGAACCTTATCTTATTCCCTTCCTGCTACCTGAATTTAGGCAGTAAAGATGTTTTTGAAAATTTCATTCATATATTCAAAATTATGTATTGAGTACCAGTCATGTCATAGTCACTGTTCTAGGTCTGGGGACACAGCTGCGAACAAAGCAAAGATCCCTCCCTTGTGGAGGTAACCCTTCTGGTGGAGATAGACTGATAATAAATACATTGTGTATATATAGGATTTTTGTAAGATTTCAAAAATATTTTAAATATGCCGTGGTCTCTCATGTCTTTTATGGCACACATGCACCCTGTCCAATGTATCTTTTGTGTAAATCTGGACTTACACTTCAAGCAAACTGCCTGGCTTGCTGAAAGGTGGAGACACCTTTCGATTCAGTCTTTTAATATGTGTTGAGTGCCACCTATGTGCAGAGCAAGATATTGGGGACTTTGGAGAGATCCAGAAGAGTGAGAAGACAGTATCCTACCTTAGGGGGTTCCCAGTCCAATGAAGGAGGCAGCCCCATGCCTAGGGAGCTCCCAAGCTATAGAAGGAGCTAACAGTCCAGTCTGGAAACGCAAACAACTTCAGGACCCGCTTCTAAACCGGAATCCCAAGTACACCCAAAATGAATCCAGCCTTGACTGTGTGGAGTTGGGTAAACCACCTGCCTCTTATCATGATGGGGAACTAGAATGAGGACAGCTGCAGGGAACAAGAAAGGGGACACCATAGGAGCTGTCTCATGTCCCAACAGTGATGAGGAGCTGAGGGGCATCCCTTGCTGGATTAGTGTTATCCTGGGAAGGCTTCTGGATGCGATGGGATTTGAGGTGCTGCTGCAAGAATGAATTGCTCACGGAAAGGTGGGGTGGGGGCATTCCAGGTAGAGGGTGCCTCCTGGGGGATGCAGGGAACATGAGGGTGCTGGGTAATTAAGCCTTGGGCACAAGCCTAGGCAGTCACCCCCAATTCAGAGTCAGTTGAAAATGCAGAGGAGAGAGGAAGGCCAGTGTGTGGGTGTCTTGACCAAACCCTTGAAGCTGGCCAGCGGCAAGGGCAAGGACCAGGGTCAGGGTCAGAGGTAGAGGGCGTGAGTGAAAGCGACCCAGACTGAGTCCTTCCCTAAGCGCCTAGGTTTCCTGACAGCTGTTAAGGAAGCAAGGTGAGAAAGGGTTAAGTGTGCCCCTCCACCGCCCCAAATGCTTCCTGTGTTTGAAATCCTTCAGGTCTCTGCAAACCCTCTGGCCCCCGGCCAGACGGGCATTGTCCGGGGAGCGGTTGTGGGTTGTCAGAGAGGCCGCGCAGCCTTTGTTGTGGGGCCACCTCAGGGTTCCCTCTCGCGCTCTGGCTGGGGCTGCAGAGTGCGTGCCTGGAGGGGGGCGGTGCGGGAGGCTCGCTCCCTCTCCCTCTTCCTGCCCCCCCCAGCCCTCCCGATGACCACATGACCAAGTGGGCTCGCGGCCAAGCCACAAGCTACAAAATGCAGCCCCTGGAGTGAGCGGGGAGCATTCTCGCTGGCAGCCGGGGTCAGGGGCAGTTGCAGCCGCGGCTGAGCAGCCAGCTGCTAGGAAAGAGCTCGCCGCTGCCGCTCCCGGAGCCGCCGAGGCCAGCTTCGCGGCGCTGCCCAGCGGCGGGAGAGGAGGCTGCAGAAGAGCGGAGGCGGCCAGCGGGAGCGGCGGGGCTCAGCGCGCACACTCAGCGGCCCGGGAGCCTCCCGAGCTCCGCGCCCGCACGCGCCAGCCGCGGCTTGCGCCTTTCTTGGCCTCCTGGCGCCCGACCTCTCCTCCCCCGCGCCGGCTCGCCGGGGCCGCGGCGGCCCGAGGAGCAGCATGAATCTGCGGCTCTGCGTGCAGGCGCTCCTGCTGCTCTGGCTCTCCTTGACCGCGGTGTGTGGAGGTGAGTGCGCGCCCTCCCGCTCGCCCGGGCTGCAGCCGGCGCGCTCCTTTCCCTCCGCCCTCCTCGCACTCTCCCCGCCTCCCGGGGAGCCCGGCGCGAGCCGTGCAGTAGCAGCCACGCGCCGGCCAGCGCCAGACAGCAGATTGACAGGGCGCCCCGGGCCATGGGGCGGCTGGCCGCAAGAACCGCTTCTTCTGCGGGGCTCAACTTGGCCTCTGGCATCATCTGCCCGTCACCTTGTCCCTCCTAACTGTCGCTCGCAGTCCCAGGAGCGCAGGACCACAGGTGTGCGCCGCGTGCCCCATGCCCTGCACCCCGCGTGGTGAGGGTGGAGGCCGGGGACATGCCCGCTCCCTCGTGGATCGATGGAAGGAACTGACCAGAGTCGGGTGGGCTGGGCTCCCATGTTGAACGTCTTCTGGTCCCTGAAGGCTGGGAGCCTCCCGCCGGTCCAGGGGCGCGGGAAACCGGGGATGATGTGCCAACATGCAGACGTGACACTTGTTGCATAGGCAGGAGTGCGCGGAGGGGGTGGCGGCATGGAGCCCAGCTGTTGCTCCTTTTGGCCGGCATGTGTGAGCAGAGGCAGCCTCCCTAAGGCAGGGCCGGGCCCAGCCGGGCTGGGCTGGTCTTCTCCTCCCTAACCCCAAGTCCTGGCTGGCCTCCTCCCCTGCACAGGATGCCCTCCCCATTGCCTCCATCCCACCCCCAGATACTTGATTCTCTTACATCCTGGCTCCAGCCTTTCCTTCTGTCCCAGGCATGGGCATGCTTCACCTTAGTCTCCCTGTCGCTAAGCACCAAAGGAGGAAGCACAGCACCTGACCCAACCCCTCCCTGCAGCTCAGGAAAGGGGAGTCCTTTTGCCCTCACCTGCCAATACTTGGCACTAGTGCCCACGTCCGCCCCAGCCTGGTCCCCACCCACGCCCCAGCAGCCCCATCCCGGGCTGCCTGTCCTCTGCGTGTCAATGTCTCCTGGGGCTGCCAGCTCCCACCTCCAGCTGCCACAGTCCTATGATCTGGCTGTCATTGCTGCCTGCCTGGCACCACACAAGGGGAAGGCCAAGACCAGGTGGACTAACGCCAGGACCATGGCTGGAGTCACAGGGAGGTGGGAGCAGAAAGAAGGAGAAGGCAGAGCAACGAGTTTCCTAGGGCAAGGGCACAGGGCCCTATGTGGTTCCAAACCCTCCAGAACAGGAGGGTGGCATGCAGCCCAGGAGCCTCCGAGGGGTCCAGCCAGCTCTGCCTGCCTCTCATTGCAGGCCACCTCCTTTCTCTGCTCTTGCTTTTTGGCCCTGTTGTGGCCCTGGGAATACTGCCTGACTTCTCAGAAAGGCGTGGTGGTTGGGGCTGGCACCTCCTGCCTCCAGGTAGCTGGCCAGTGATCTCTCCCTTCAAGACCTGAGCATGAAGTCAGCCACCACCACAGTAAGAAGTGGGCAGGTTTTTTCCACAGAAACTCCTATCAGGCAGGTAACAGAGGGAGCAAAAGATACTAATGTAAGATACAAATGTAAGATACAAATGATACACCATACCAGCCTGTCCTCAGGGAGCCTACCATCTGGTGTCATTAACAAGGCATGACACTTGTACAATACCACCACAGGCAAATAGTCCAGCGTGGTGCCTTCAGGGAAGAAAAAGACTGGGTGCAGAGAGAGTGTTCCAGAGGAAGGTGGGGCTTCTGGATCTGCACACTTAGTGCTCCCCACACAGGCTGTGGGGAGACCCCTAGCCAATAGACAACCATTCAGACCCTCCTGGGGCCCAGCCACTGGGACAGTACTAGCAAAGGGGAGAGAGCTGGTTTCAAAGGAAGGGAAGTTGGCCAGGATGCCTGAACACGGTGTGGCTGGTCCAGAGCCTGCCACTTCGTGCTTTAATACCCCCGTCTTCATTAGGTAATCTGTCTACTCTGATTTGGGTAAATTCGTTGCCCTCACATTTTGCTCAAGCCTCATGTTGGAAACTTTCAGGACTCTCACTGACTTCTCTACTCCCTGACTTCTCCTGGAGCCAAGAAGGGGCACATCCCTGGAGATGGCCACCAGCCAAGGGTCCAGGTACACATGTCCTGCTCCTGCTGGCTCCTGTCCTGGGTTAGAAGTAGGAATCCCAGAACCACTTTGTCCTTGGCCCAGACTGACATGCTGTCCCCGGCCAGAGTCCCCAGTCAAAGTGCCAGCCTGAAAACCATACTTCCTCCTCTCCACAGTCTGTCCTGACTTGGAATGTCCACCCCTGACCCCTCTCCACACCGCCTCTCATCACCCCGATACCACCGTGTACACTCCTCCACTGCCTCCTGACCTCGGATACACTTTGCTCTTGTGAGTCTGAGAACTCCTGGGCCAGGGCCAAGTGTCCCTCGGTCTCTGAGTACCTCTCTTTTTCCCCTTCTCCTCCCCCTCTGCAGGCCCAGCTCAAAGCCTGCAGTCACAGTGGGAGTGTGAGGAGAGCCTACTGTACCCCTCCTGCTCAGGGAAGGGCATCTCCAATCCATCCCCAGTCCTTAGCACTAAGCACCCGTGTAACCTGAGCCAGGCCTCTCCATGCAAAGAACTAAGGCAAGGGAAGCAGAGGGCCGCCAGACAGAGCATGATGTATCCCAGGGCAGCAAAGCTGGCACTGGAGACAGCACAGGGCCCTGGAGAAGGCGACTAGGATGGGGGGCTGGGCAGACAAAGAGACACATGTAGGACCACAGAGCAGTGGAGGGGCATTGCCAGCGGGGTCCCCAATGGAGGACACATTTGGGCTTTTAAAGTCATCACAAGACAGGCCAGACTGAGAGGAAAAACAGGTGCGTCATTCCTGATGAGGCTGGCATGTTCCTGAAAAGTCGCACGTACCTCTTTGTGCGTTGGCAGGGTTGGAGTTCAGATTGCATGAAAGTCAAATCCTGTCCTCCCCCGACTGCGGTTCTCAGCATGGAGATGCTATAGCTTCATGGCTGATGGCGCTTCAGCAGGCAATAGCTCCAATCTCTCTAGGCTCAAGATTGTTTGGGGGATTGCTCCAGCCTCCTTTTACGTAGCAAATGAGCTAGAAGAAAATATTTAAGTGCATTAGGGCTGGCCTCCATTTCTAAAGGGGAATTCTTTTGTACAGTCAAGACCTCTGCAGTGATGAGAATCAACAGCCTCTAATTTGTTCCTTTGGACAGGATAAAGCCAGGGTTTCAGGTGTCAGCTTATCTGATGGTGAGCCAGACTCAGAATCAAAAGTGGGAAACAGGTGGGTGATGGGCTCAGAGTGAGGGAGGAGCCAGCAGAGCTCGGCGATGCTGAGGACAATGAGTCCCCCACCCAATGGGAGGAATGCAAGAGGCCCGGGGCTGGTCTCCAGAGCCTGACTGGGGGCTCAGTCAGCTCAGAGCGGTTCTCTGCAGACCTAGAGTCTAGACATCTTCCTGGCCAGAGTCAGAACCACCAACCCTGCTCCTCATCCTGACATACGGCCTCTAGCCCTCCCTTTCTGACTGCCACAGACTTACAATCTTGGGTGCTGAGCACATGGAGATGACGCCCTCCCCCTCCTGGCACGGTGCTTCTCTTCTCCATGTCTGCCACCACCCTGAGCTACAATGGCCTGCGCCACTGCCCCATCCCTTCTGCACCCCCAGCAGTTCAAGGTGCAGAGGTGAGAGCCAAGAGTTGATTTGGTTCACTTCACAAGGCCCCTAGGTCCTTCCCCTGCGTTATCAGCATCATTCAGATCCATCCTCAGTGACCATGGTGAGCCTTGTGGGGACCCCAGAACTCAAGGCAAAAGCTGAAGCAGCTGTGGTGGGGAGCTTAGTGAAGGTCTTTCCCTCCTCCCCCTCTCCAGCCCCAGCCCCCTCACAGATGGCGCCAAGAGGGTAGCTCTGTGATAGTCAGACAGAAGCAGCCCACTTGTTCCATCCACACTTACTGCTCCAAAGTGCTAAGATAATTTTTCTTTTAATTCTTATAGGTTATGAATTTAAGGAACAAGTTGGCATGGAATTGTGGCTAGCTAACCAAATGACCCAACTCAACAGCGGGGTCCTCATGGACCTGGCAATTTTTCTTGGGGAAAGAGGGAAGGAGGGTGCAGGCTTGGAGAATATGTGTTTATGTATGTATTTGTGGAGGGGGTGGGTATGTCTGGGTGTGAGTGGGGAGAACTGCAGGCCCAGAAGCCTGGGGGAAGAGAGCCCTAAGGCCAAACCCACCCACTTTTGGCCCAAGAGGAGCCTAAACACTTGGAAATTGTGTGCAAGTGGAGGAGGACTCACAAGAGCCAAGGAGCCAAGGAAGGAACAGTGTGGGGATGTTGGAGTCAGAGGCAGAGGGGAAGGGGGAACTGCCAGCGGTATCACTGGGGTGTGAGCAGCCAATGGAAGGCTCTGTGGAAACTGTGAGCAAGTGGTGGGAATTCCTGGGTAGATGGCAATGGGGTTCAAGGGACAGGAATCTAGATGCAGGCAAATCAGATGGTGTGCAGGGGGAGAGAGACTGTTACTCATTATCTCTGGCCTCAGATGCTGTATGTGCACAGGCCTGTACTGGGCACTGCACAAGTACCCTGCCTGGCTGCCTCTTCCCCGGCACCATTTCATCTCCGCACACAGCCTGCTGTCACCAACCAGGCTTGTCTTGGGGGTGGCAGCTCAACTTCCCTGCATGGACTGTAGGCTTCGTGAGAGTCGGCCTGCATGACTTTTCCCTTACTGCACCCAAGGATACCCTGCCCCACTTGGATTCCATTGTCAGGGCTCAGTCTGGTGTCAGGAGGCTTCTACTCTAAGCCTCCTGACAGATGTGGACAGATGTAAAGAGGAACCCCAGAGTGCAGAATAGAAGCCAGTTGAGATTGAAATGGAAGGAATTTACATGAGACACAGGATGCAGGGTGTGATCCAGGAATTTCAGGAGGTAGGGCATTGGTGGGGAGGTACCAACTTGCAGCAGCCCACCCCGCTCCTGGTGCACAGACATGCTGCTGAAGGTGACCATTCTCTCATTTATTCATTCTCAAATATTCGTGCAGTATTTATTGGTCTCTAAATCTGGTCTCAGGTTTCTAAATCTGGTGACAGTATGAGGCAGGCTGAGTCGGAGACCCCTCCCTCTTAACCCGCCTGGCCCAGCCCCATCCACTGGGAGGACTTGGTGCCCTAGAGAGGCCTAACCACTGATGAGACACCCAGGGGCGAGATATGAGCTCCCTAGTACTCAAAAGTGGGTCATCCTGCATATCAAAGGATGTAGGAGTAAAATGACGTGATGTTCGGGATTTGCTTTAAAATACTGCAGTCAAGGAAAATAGAAAAGGGATAACTGAAGCATATGTGACTCCATCTGGATAACTGTTGAATCCGGGTGATGGGTACATGGTGGTGGGAGGGTCATTGTAATGTCATATGTCTAAAATGTTTGAAGTGTACCAGTCGCAGGGGTGCCATGGTGATTACTGCCTCCTGCCACCCAGCCAAGTACAGGCATGATGCCCCAAAGTGCACACCCCCCAATGATGTTCCAAAGAACCCACTTGTGCCTGTTGGCAACATGATATAACTGTCAAAAGGACAGAAAATCAGCTGCATCAATGGCAAGATGTGAGTAGTAGGTTCCGTTTGTGCCAGGACAGTGCAGAAATGGCAAATTTTCCCTCAATATGAACAAGAGAAACAAAGAAAATCTATGAGAAGTGCCGCCACATGGAGAGACCACCCCTCCCGTGGGCCTGTGGTCTGCGGCCCCTGCTCGTTTCCAACAACCGTCCTCACTAACAGGCTTTCTCCTTCCTGCAGGGCCCCTGATGCAGCTTCCCTATGGGAATGGGCTGGAAGAGGGCAATGTCCGCCACCTGGTGCAGCCCAGAGGGTCGAGGAACGGGCCAGGGCCCTGGCAGGGAGGTCGAAGGAAATTCCGCCGCCAGCGGCCCCGCCTCTCCCATAAGGGACCCATGCCTTTCTGAAGCAGGTACTTGAGCCTCTGCTCAGTGGACAGCGCTAAAGCGGAGGGAGAGGGACAGCCTAGAAGCCGGGTGACCCTGCAGCTCAGCACTGGCCAGACACATCCATCAAGCAGTCCTGGCGCCACACGCACGGGGACTTAGAGTTGGCAAGAGAGCTTATGGGGCAGCTGTCTAGCGCCTTTATTTTACAGACGATCTCCTCATCTGAGGCCCAGAGAGGGGCTTGACACTTGGGGCCAGTCTTCCTTCCACCCTGCTGCCTGGGGTTGGGGAGGCTGGCCTGCTTAGAGATTTCTAGACATTCTGGTGGACCTTAATGGCTGGGGAGGGGTGCCCAGGGCAAACCTACAGATGTCCAGTGTAGATTGTCACCAGAGTTGGGGAAGGAGGCAGAGAGCTCTAGGGGCTCTCAGGCAGAGAACAAGAGGACAGCTGTGGCTGTGGTTGCCTGGAGCTGTGAGAAGGAGGGAAGAACCAAGGCGGCAGCAGAGAGAGGAGAGCTGAATTCTGTCCCTCACTTGGTCTGCTGGCTGTCCCACTGCAATGGGGACAGGCAGGCACCAACTCAGGGGCCTTGGGCTTGAGGTTTGGGCTGAGTGGAGTTGGGGGAAGAGAGAGAAAGGGTCTCCTCTCCTTTCCTGGGGAGTTCCTTTGGTCTAGGATATGTCCATGACTTCTCTGTTGTCATTTTTGTCTCCTTAGGACTGAAGGGGCCCCCGAGTGCCCACCCCCTGTGGTTCTGTCTCCTCCATAGATTGGTCTGCTTCTCTGGAGGCCTCACGTCCATTCAGCTCTCACCTCACACCTGCTGTAGCCACCGATGGGCCCGGCTCTTCTCACCTGCCTGCTTCCCCCAGTGGCGTGTTCCTGGCTGTAGTTTGGATGATTCCCGTTCTCTCACAAGGATCCGTCCAGTCCATCTTCCTGGCCCCTCCCCGGACTGACTTTGGAGACCCAGCCCCGGAAAGCCTCCCTTCTTCTCCAGGTCCCCACTGCTCTAGTCCCTGCCTGTCTCATCTAACGCCCCAACCCTTCACTTGGGCCTTCCTTCCTCATGTCTGCCCTGGGCCCGGGGTGGAAATGCTCCCTTCTGCGGGCTCCAGCAGATCCCTTGATTTCCTGTCAGTTGGACCCCTCACCTGGCCTCCAGGGAGGAATGCAGAGAAAAGCAAGGGGAGACTCTAGTTAAGAGGTGCTGGCTGCGGGGATCCAGACAGGGAACACTGGGGGCACAGAAGTGTGGCGGGGGAAGCTCTGGTGAAGTGGGTGGAGCATCAGTGTTTACTCAGTTAAGGAAGAGGTAAAGGAGAGGGGCCTGTGAAGTCCTTTGTCACTTCTCTTGCCTTACTGTGCCTCCCAATACTCCCTTCTTCCTGCCCCCACACCCCATCCCCAGCTAGCCCAAGCTCCAAGTCAGGAGGGGAGGGTGCTGGGTCTGACATGGCTCTATACCCTCCCAGGAGTAGAAGCCAAGCAAGAGGTTGTTTTTGCCAAGAATCACAGAATATTAGAACTGAAAGGACCCTTGGAGATCCACTTAGCCTTCTTAGGCAAACGCCTGCAAAAACAGAAGCCTGGAGAGGGGAGTGACCTGCTCGGAGTCACTGCAGAGCCGGAATGGGGACCAGGTCTCCCATCTCCTACTTTATGATGTTCTCTTCCCTCTTGATGATGTCTTTTCAAAGCAAATGAAGTGCCTTTTCCTGAGGCTGGGGCTGGGGGTGGCTGGGAGGGGAAGGGAAGGGAGAGGCAAGCTGGCTGTGAACTATCCTGTTGTAGGGCCGGAGCTGCTCCCACCTCCCTGACCTACCCCTGCTGCACCATTCCCCCAGCTGGGCTGGAAGGTTCCATAACTGGTCAGCTGCCCCCATTCTGGCAGCATTCCCAGACCCGGGGTACTCTAATAGGGGCAGCTCAGGAACTGAGACTACCGTTCAACACCAGTGATGGTGGTTTTCAGGAGCATGAGGTAGCCTTCAATCCTTGGACTCCATGGCCTTCCCTTTGTGCTGACTGGACCTTCCTTCCAGGGCTTTTCCTTTGGGGGAGGTGGAGAGGGGAGAAGAAGGAAGGGAAGGGCAGAAGGAAGGAGGGACAGGAGGAAGAAAAGAAAGCAAAGGAAGGGAAGGAAGGAAAGAAGGATGGGAGGAAGTGCAGCAGGAATAGCACCCTCTCCCCGGGAGGCCCCAGCTTCCGTGAGGGGCCATCACCAGCCATTCCTTGGAGGGAGCTTTCTCACCTATTGCTTGAGCAGGCTTCCCAGGAGGAAGAAAGGGAAGACAAGAGCCTGATGCCCAACTTTGTGTGTGTGGGGACGGGGGAGTCAGGGCCCCCCAAGTCCCACAATAACCCCAATGTTTGCCTATCCGCCCCCTCAAGCCTTCCTTTACCTCTGCTGCTGCTAATGCCGCTGCTGCTTAAAGGCTCATGCTTGGAGTGGGGACTGGTCGATGCCCAGAAAGTCTCTTCTGCCACTGACGCCCCCATCAGGGATTGGGCCTTCTTTCCCCCCTTCCTTTCTGTGTCTCCTGCCTCATCGGCCTGCCATGACCTGCAGCCAAGCCCAGCCCCGTGGGGAAGGGGAGAAAGTGGGGAACGGCTGAGAAAGCTGGGAGATAGGGAACAGAGGAGGGTAGTGGGTGGGCTGGGGGGGCTGCCTTATTTAAAGTGGTTGTTTATGATTCTTATACTAATTTATGCAAAGATATTAAGGCCCTGTTCATTAAAAAATTGTTCCCTTCCCCTGTGTTCAATGTGTTTGTAAAGATTGTTCTATGTAAATATGTCTTTAAAATAAACAGTTAAAAGCTGACAGTTCGCCCTTACTCTTGGAGGTCATGTTCAGGAGGGGCGTTCCTTTCCCCTGGGGGCCATGATTGTCCCCATGCCCACATATTGCACGTGCAGGGAGGTAAGTGCCTGCATCCCAAATCGGTTCTAGGTCAACTGGCCTCAAACCAATTTGCCACGAGCTTACAAAATGAATCCCTATGCTTAATGACCAGGTCACATAAAATCCAGCCCTTATAGGTTTTCTGGCATCTGTTTGGGTATCCTCATTTTTTTGGCAGTGTCAAAGAATTTTTCAAAAGCAATTTATTTAAGAACATGCTGATTAAATGCAGGATCGCTACTAAAAATTGTTTTGTATCCTTGGTGGGTGTCTTCTGCTATTTTATCTACTTTTGAACACTTTCAGGACTTTTTAGCCAGTTTGCCTTTCTTGAAAAATGTTATGTTTTCAGTAATAAATACATTTGATAATGACTGTTTGTATCATTTTATGTTTCACAAAGTAGAGTTGCTTGATAAATGAGATAGCCTGAAAAATAAAATGCAAAGAGTTGAATATAATTCTGCCCCATCTGTCTCACTTCATGCTTGTTGTCAAAATGCCAATATCTTGCATAACAGAAGGGAACATTGGGTACATGCTAATTTGGTTAATAAACCCATTAGGTGCACACATGCATACACATTACAAGGCAAAACTCAGTGAGAAGCAGAGAGGAGGGATCGAAATGGTTCATTTGATAAATCTCATGGGAAATCCTACAGATTTGACAAATATTTAGTGCTAGAAATATACAATTTTAAAGAAAGGGTCTTCAAACAAACTCCCTAAAAAGTCATAAAAATGTTCAATAGGAGAGAAAATAGAAAAAGTCACCCCCAAGCATATAAAACAATCTCATTATTGACAAAATGCTGCAAGTTGTGATAGTGATTTAAAAATGCAGTGTTACAGCTGGGTGCAGTGGCTCACACCTGTAATCCCAGCACTTTGGGAGGCCGAGGCAGGCAGATCACTTGAGGTTAGGAGTTTGAGACCAGCCTGGCCAACATGTGAAACTCCGTCTCTATTAAAAATACAAAGATTAGCTGGGTATGGTGGCGGGCGCCTGTAATCCCAGCTACTCGGGAGGCTGAGGCCAGAGAATCGCTTAAACACAGGAGGCAGAGGTTGCAGTGAGCTGAGATCACGCCACTGTACTCCAGCCTGGGTGACAGAGCCAGACTCCATCTGAAAAAAAAAAAAAATGATGTTACGTTGGAAGTGCCTCTTGGGAAAACTGGTGCAAAATGCCTTATTTAAAAATTACTAGTTTGACTTTTAGGCAAACAGGTCATCAGAGGAACTGGTTTTCGGCAGAGGTTTCAGGTGGACTGACTTTATGCTGATTAGTCTGTAACCTCCCTAATCATCCCCAAAGTTCTAAATTCACGTGAAAGCAAGGAGAAGCAGGTGGAGCATGGGGCAGGACAACTTAATACCGACCCATAAGTGTACAGTGAATTAGATAAGTGAATCTAGAATCTGGTCTTCAAATTCCACAACACAAACTCTTTCTACAGTACTACAGAAGGTCCCCTAACTAGAAAGAAGAATTAGATACAAAACGTGTTTGATGTTTTGTTTTTTTTTTTCCCCAAGACAGAGTCTTGCTCTGTCTCCCAAGCTGGAGGGAAGCCAGTGGCGTGATCTCGGCTCACTGCAACCTCCACCTCCCGGGTTCCAACGATTCTCCTGCCTCACCCTCCCAAGTAGCTGGGATTACACACACCCGCCACCACGCCTGGCTAATTTTTTGTTTATTTATTTATTTATTTATTTATTTATTTATTTATTTATTATTTTTTAGTAGAGACAGGGTTTCACCAGGTTAGCCAGGCTAGTCTTGAACTCCTGACCTCAAGTAATCCACCTGCCTCGGCTTCCCAAAGTGCTGGGATTACAAGCATGAATCACCACGCCCAGCTGTCTTTGATATTCTTAGTAAATACAATACGAATTCGTAGTACAAGATGGCACGGTGTGGACTGGTGGGATCAGGGAAAGCTAATAGAGGCTGAGTGATAAAAACAGGCCCTAGAAGGCACAATAGCATTTGGTTAAGTTGGCGAAAGGATGATGGGAAGTGACGGTGGGGACAAGGAAGGGGGAGCAGCCACCAGGGTCTATGGAACATATGTAGTCAACTGGATACTACTGGGTGGATGCAAGTGTGACCTCCTTGGGGCAGGGGATAAGGAACATAAAATTGGTGGCTTCTGTAAAGATAATTAGACCTCAAACCAAAAGAAGGCTGGACATATGATATGCGTTGCTACTACCCTTTGGAGATATCTTGACCAAATAAATACAACAGAAGCAGAGCAGGGCATTGTTTTTCAAAATGCAGAGCTTAGGAAAAGAAATAGGAGTTCACTTAACTGATTGTTTCTGGACTGGAGGTCCTGAGCTGAGAGGTTGACGAGTGGGGGCAGAGAACCTGAAAACCAACACTCTTTCAAATCCATCCGGAATTAGGCAGCCTCTGAAATGACAGAGATTAGGGAGGCAAACAGACTCAGACCACACACAGCTTTTCAGGACCCCAGGTGTGGTGTAAAATGAGCCATAACTGCTTAGAAATCTAACATTTCAGACTCTCCTGTAGGCCTGGCTGGCTTGGTACCCCCTGTAGGGGCTGGGCTCCTCTGCATTGAGGGAACCATGAGGCCTGGCCTGAGCAGCCATTCTGAGGTCCTTACAGAATTCAATTCTCCAAGCCTAAAGGTTATTCAACTGAAATGTCTCAATCCAAAGTTTCTTTCTGACCAGAGTGTGCCTGTGCCAGCTAACTGCCAAAGGAGATGGCAGAGATTTACTCAATGTCTTCCCCTCTCGGCTTGAGAAGGGCCGCTGACTTAGCCAGCATTTCTCGGTAACTCTCCAAAGGAAGGCTTCTTCTCTAGGACTCCTTTGAAAATCCAGCTTTTCCTATGTACTGGCCAGTGCTCAGAGAAGGAGCTCAGCAAGGGACACCCCTTGCCGCTGTCTTGGACTTCAGCCAAAGGTCCAAGTCACATCCAGGACACTTCCTTGAATGTTTCAAATCAGCTGCCAACAGACTTTTTCTGTAAAGAGCCAGATAGTTTTCTTGACTTTTTGAGCCATATGGTCTCTATCCCAACTCAGACCTCTTTGAGTTTGATGCTGCTGCCTACTTTTTAGCACTGTGGTCGGAATTGACTGTGATGACGCAGGTAAAGTTGCTGGCATGTACAGAAGCAGCCATACACAATATATACACCAGTGGACATGACTGTGTTTAAAAAAAAAAACTTTATAAAAGCAGGTGGCAGGGCATAGTTTGCCCAGCTCTGTCTCAAATGAAGCATCAGCAAGCCCTTCAACTCAGCCCCTGAACCCTTGCCTGGAGCACAAGGGGAAGACTTACATTCTGCAGCAAAGTGTAGAATTAAGTGATTTAATACACTGGTTATGAGATGGCCTCTGATAATAATCATACTGACAGAGTGATTCCAGTGGAAGGGGAAGTCTGGAGTCAGATAAGGTTCAAATCCTGGCACCGCCATTTACTCACCTGTGTGACCTTGCAGCAAGGGTCTTGATCTGGATGAGCCCATGTTTCTGCTTTGGGCAGGATGCTGCTGCCCACTTTATAGCACTGTGGTCAGGATTGACTGTGATGATGCAGGGAAAGTGTTTGGCACAGTGCCTGGTCCATGTTACGAGCTCACTAAGTGGGAGCTATTATTATCTCTGCTAAGCCTCATTCTAGCCCTGAGAACTGGACAGGGCAGCCATCATTATCCCCGATTTATAGATGAAAAATCAGGCTCATGGAGGTGAGGTCACTTGTTCAAATTCACAGAGCCACTCATGGGTGAGTAGAGCCTCAAACCTGGGTCTGTCCCCGGCTCAGGTCAGCTGCTGCTATGGTTTGAATGAACCCTTCAAATTCATATTTTGGAAACTTAATCCCTAAATTCATATGTTGATGGTATTTGGAGGTGGGGCCTTTGGTAGGTAATTAAAATTAAATAAAGTCATCAGGATTGTGCCCCTATGATGGAACTGGGGGCTTTATAAGAAGAGGAAGAGAGACCTGAGCTGGCACACTCTTGCCCTCTTGCCATGTGATGCCATTTTACCATGTTATGATTTGCAAAAAGGCCCTCACCAGATGCCAGTGCCATGCTCTTGGCCTTCCCAGCCTCCAGAGCTGTGAGCTAAATAAAGTTTTTTTCTTTATAAGTTACCCAGTCTGTGGCTACAGAAAACAAACTATGACAGCTTCCTTGTTCCTGCTAAGGGTCCTCTTTCCCACCATGAGTGTGCCACAGCCACTGGAAATTTCTGGTCTCCCAGATAACCTACAGGGCCTCCCCAGGGACAGATTTGGTCCTCGGCATTTTTCTTTGTAGAAGCTTAGCTTAGGCAGCAGCCCAGGAGGCCTCTCCAAAGGTGTTAAGTGCTCACCATTAACATCTGATCTGTCTGGAAGTCTGGAGCCAGGCACCTGTTTCAGGACACCTGCTTGGCCATTGGGGTTCCTTTCTGCACAAGGCCAGGGGCTCAGAAACCTGGGTTCCAGTCCTGAATCTGCTTCTACCCAGGGCTTGCTGGGTATCTTAGCAAAGTCTTTCCTTGGCCCTTTCTGGGCCTCAGCCTACTCACCTGCCCAGGACACCTGGGTGGGTAGATGTGAAGCACCTGCTTGTGACTAGGGCTTTGTTGGGGTCCCAGCTAACGGTGGGGGGGGGGGTGATTCAGGCTGCTCTCCAGAGGCAATTCAGGACCTGACCCAGGGACCTGTAGGGAGGAGCTCTGGGAGAAGAACTGGGCATATGGCAGGAAAATGGGAACCTAAGCCAATGAGGGAGTCCACTGCTGGGTTACGTGGGTTGCACAAGCTTCCCATAACCCCAGTGGCTGCTGGAACCTCCATTCCATACTTCCCCCTTTGCACAAACTAAATGCTTTCTGATCTTCTCTGAGTGTTAAAAAATTGGCACATTGCTGCAGAGCTAGCCAGGTGGCGTGAAACTTGGGGTTCTGAGCTCTGGATCCTAACCTCAGCTTGGCCAGTAACTGGCTGTGCGACTCCTGGCAGGTCTGTTCATCTATTAGGGGTCCTGGTTCTCCCTCATCTATTTTCATAGGATGACAATCTCTGCTTTCCCTACCTTAAACACACAGAATCATAGAAGGGCAGAGCTGACTTGAGTCTGACAGATCATTCAGTACCCTAAGCCCTGTTATTTTTACAAATGAAGAAAGTGGGACTCAGAAAGGGTAAGTGAACTCTTAAAAGAACATAGCTAGATAGTCCTAGGAAGCTCATATAGAGTGCTTCCCATGTGCCAAGCACTGAGGAGCTTCACCTGTCCTGACTTATTCAGTTCCCATCACAATCCCATTTTATAGCTGAGGAAACTGAGGCACTCAGAGGCTAAGCCATTAGTCTAAAGATCTTCTGTGGTATGTGCAAATGAACTGAGAGAAACAAGGTGGCATTGCTTTAAAGGAAGGCAAAGGCACTGCTGAAATGCCAATCATTCCC